ACTTTGGAACCTTTCTGAAACAACAATTAAAAAATTTTCATCATAATAATTCAATTAATTTAATTAATTAAATTAATTAATTATAATTTTCATTCATTATAACAATATTGTATTCTAACTTATCAATCTATAGTATTATCATAGGTACCGTAATACCCTTTGTACCACTGCACTCGGCGAATATTTATTTTGTTTATACGTTGCTTAGACCGGTAAACTTACATTTCTAGTGCTTTCCATTGGTCGTTCGGTACATTTTATAAATACTGTCATTTTTTGAGTAGTTCCCCTGTTAGTATCTCCTGTAAGAGGGAGTCATACTCGTTCTTTGAACTTAGCCCGATGTTAGCCGTTTCTTCGGTCTTTGAACCCATGTAGAGAGCGATTCTTCGAAACAGTTTTTTGTTTGTTGGTTTCGTTTACGATTACCAGTTCTGGCCTAGTCAGAGCTCTAGGTAGCTCTCAGAAAATAGCGCTGTCGGCCTACGAAATTTTTGAGCCGATTTGGTGATAGAACGAATATAATCTCAGTCCCACTTTTAGTCAAAATGAAAATACATTATTTTTTCATAATTTAATTTTTCTTAATAAACAATGTTGTTTTGAATATCTTAAACGATAAAAAATTAGAATAGAAAAATTCAATAACAGCGTTGTCGTTCCTTACATTACTGTGACACTAGGTAATGGATGAGCAGCCTGATGCGAAAACCTCCAACGACCTGCCGATATCGAAATGAGGTCAAAAATTCTGGTCCATTTCTTCAAGGCTCCGTATAGCGGTCGGTAGGGTGGAGATATCCCAACCATCTTCGCAAAAAATTGTGGGGGAAGGGGAAAAAAGGGGATAAGGATAGGAACGTGCGGGCGAAAGGCCCTGCCGGTCAGTTTTGATCCGAATGTAATCGTCCATTCCATGAGTGGTGCGTGTGGTCTTCTTATGGAAACCAGTAAGTCGGTTCTTGGCTAGGCTTAATAGCTGCTGCCCCTTTGGGCTCGTCTAACTAGCTGGCGATGCTTACTGACCAACGCACTGGTACTGTAAGAAGGAATTATCTACCATTAAGGATATTCGAGGTGGATTATCCTCGTTCTGGAGGTGGGATCTGTCTTGAAAGCTTGCGAGAAGCGATTTTCGGAAAATTTGGGTTTATATTTGTGTAAGGGAAGAATTAGAGCCCTATATCACCGAGTTTTATACCGGAAATATTCTTTTGGGCTTGTGACTCTGGTTTCCTCCAGTCAGTAGCAGTTCTTCCAATTGGAAGGGTCCCGCTACAGGGTAATCGTAGTTGATCTTACGCAAAATGGTAAGGGCCAACTATGGCTGTGGCCGGTTGTCCATAATCCGTGGTACATAACCGGATTAATTAATTTACCGACGCCTAGGCCGAGAAACAACCGTTTGCGTCATTCTATGGGATCCTCCGCAGTTCTCCTTTTTTCAGTTTGTTTTGGTGGTCAACTTGCAAGTTTTGGCAGAGTTTTTAGTAGTCGTTGGACAGTGGCAAAAATTGCCTTTCGAATCAGTATACTTCGACCACTCTTTTTGGATATTTGTCGTCTTGGGGGCGGAGCTGTCTGTTTCTTTCACGCCATTTTCTACATCTTTCCCCGGATTTGCGGTAATTATTACCCAAAGTTCCTGGATTTCTCCGATGACGAGGAACGCGGACATTTCGGACGTTTCGGTCGAAGATGAAGTGGTCCGAACTCAGTGGGTGGTTTAGGTGGGGGGTGCGATATTATGTAGATATCGTGCGAGCGACCCCGCCCATGGCCCGCGTTCGCCACCGCCCATTCTCATACGCCGTTTGTACTACCACCATCAACTGCTAACAAAACTCGTAACCTTTTTTGGCAATAACTTACTAATATGGTACAGTTAATTTGATACCTAAAAAATACAAAAAATACGAGGTACTGTATATTGGGTTATTTGAATTACCTTCGCGTTACTGGTTTTTATTGTTTCTTGTTACCTTTTAAATCGATTTTCCGTTATTGATCTGTAGACTGTATCTCTGAAAACTATACGGTATCATAGTATTTGAGTATGTTTACCCCTCCGACAATCGATTTCGATGGTGGAACAGGTTCAAGCGTCCCGGAGGACCTTGGGCAGATTGCAGGCTCCTCAATCATGTTCGTACGTAGTGTGTGAGTGTATTGCATGCATGTGAATGCCGATCCTCACTATCGTATAACGGGCGATCCTGTCAATTCGTCTTTATTCGAGCTTCTTTTTGTCCCATTTACCTCCCACAGTTCACTTCAACCCCATTTCTGTGACCTGGATCATTTAAAGTAACGATTACGCGCTATCAGATCCATATGGAGAACCGTTCGTTCGTTCGTTCATCATACACCTGGCGTTCATTTGATGAGAACAGTAATTAAGTATCTTGACATAGCACATCTCTTAATTCTGGCTCCTCCCCTTCTTCCATCCAATTACCCAAAATCGCATGTAATCGATAAGTCCATAGGGCGCAGCCGGGCTGTGCAAACTGTATGTTTCCGTTATGACCTTAGACCTTCTCATTTTTGGATCCGCCCATTTTGATTGTGTGCTTAGTAAATCAACAAACCCCTAGAATATCCTCTGCCGTTTACGTACTCCATCTATTCTTTGCAACGATTTCGTTGAGCAGCTATTTGAAGGCCGCATTTATGTCAAGCTCCCGGAAGGAAGCTTAACCTTCCGTTCACATGTCCAGCTGCAGCTCTAAACACCTGCCTCCAACAAACACAACCATGTTTATTCGGCGAATTTGTTAGTAATACCATGAACAAAAACCTTGAAACCCTGTAAATCAACATGGTAATTTACCCAGGCAACCACCACCATTCCGCGGCGGTTGCTGGGCGATTCCAGCCGTTCATCACCAAAAAACCCTAGCATTTTCCCTTTCATTACTACTCACTCTACCCATTGAAACGGCACGATACTCCCTTGGAACCATTGCTACTTGATGCCCATATGACTGATGTGGTTGTCCATTATGAGAGATTCCTCTGGGAAGCTAATTATCACATTAAGTCTCAATTACCACTTGTCATTTACCTATGGATATCTTGCACGCGACATTTTAGCCTTTACCGTAGCTTCAGTAGCTCCTTAATGAATCGGTTCGATCGTATCATTTTGCCTTTTTTTTCGCTTCCGGCCTCTATCTGTGTCGCCGACGGGTCGACTCATTTTTCGCATACCAGAGCAAACCAGTTTTCAGTGGTCAACGCTTTGGGTCACCCCCCTTACATTCTCCCACGACATTGTTTCGTTCTCTTCTCGAATCGATTATTGATTGGAAGAGGAAACTCGTTGAAAAGACGCCGTGTCGTCCAGCTTCGTTGAATCAGCCGGTCCAGCAGCCGCTTGCTTGTATGAAGTGACGGGTCCGAACGATGCGGACGTTGATGAGTGTGTATGAGGCTGTAAAGATGATATCACGATTGGCATCGGAAAACATGTTTCCATTATGAGACGTCAGGGGGGAATGGATGAGAAGACGCACCATATTTACATGTCGTTATCCGTAGCATCCGTAGGACGGTTCGTCGGTTTGCGGCGTAGACGGTGGGCGATGAAGGGGAAAAAAGGCAAGCGGGTCGTTTTCGACTATGTTGACGATCAGGTTTGAGAGTAATAGGTGGTGGATTAACGTCGACTCATCTATAGACGTTAGAACGACCGTAGAAGTCACAGCTATGACGCTCACGATGTTTCTGGGTCAGGTGGTTGTAAAGAAATGGGTGAAAGTGGTTTGTCGAAATTTAAGCCAAAGCCCGGGTTTGTGGTGTGGGAGGTTGTTGTTGATAGGGTGGATCGCTGCTTTGAAGGGTGTCTTGTCGTGAGTGACAACGAAATTCAACACCAACATTACCGTCTTTGTCCGAGTTTTACGCAGCAACGGACGCGCACTTGCTGCATGCACTTTTCAATTTATTGTCGATTGCCTCAACGATATCCGTTCCTTCGTTCGTTTTAATTTGAAACGAACGGTTTGACCTCATTTTATGAAGTAGACTGTGTTGGTTTTGGTTATTATCGATGAGTCATGAACGAATTTTTGCGTATGCGATCAACTAGGGAGTAAGTTGCCGCCACCAGAACCACCATACGCTCGCTATGTGTGTATTCGGGAATGATTCCCGTTTTTAAACAACTGAATAACTTCACCCATATGGGGAGGGGCTAGGACTCCCTATGCAGTCCTTCTTGCAGAGACTGATGTCACTTTAAAA